CTGATAGATCTTCAGCTGTAGTCTGCATTCCTGTACCTGTTTTGATACTTGTCTGACCCAGCTTGATTCCTGACTCTGCCTGCTTGCTGCCTGCCTTGTGACTTCAGCTTGTCTTCTGACTTCCCTCTGTCTTCTGATTTGGTACCATTCTGCTTGCAAGTGTATGACCCGGCCTGCTCCTGACATCGCTTCTGCTTCCTGCTTCTGTACCACGCTGACTGAACGTTACCAAATCCGTTTTTTCCCTGACCTGGCTTCAGCTTCTCATACCAGTACTACCTGATCTGCTATCAGCCACTAGCTACCTCCGGCATCCAGCCATAAGCACCATCACCTCCGGTGTGTCAAGCACTCTGCCCTTCTCTGCCTGTTCAGCTGCTGTCTCATCTCCAGTAGGGCTGAGACGAGAGCGGCAAGGGGAGGCCTTCCTTGTCACTTCAGGCTCACACCAAGGTACCTAACACTAAGTCTTGACCACTCCTTCAATATAGCCATCATACTTTCTATATGGCCTTAAGATAGTTTTTCCCGGAGAGTGAGGAGGGTGCCACTAGTGATACACTTCCTCGAGGTAGCTGGTACATGGGGATGCTCAGACAGAATTTATGTAGAGGTCACCTTTGTGAGACAATATGACCATTCAGTAGCAGGCATTACATGGCGCATGTTGAGTTTACCAGTACCTGGTATACTTTTAGGGGTTCCATAGACATTGCTGATAGTGGGAGCAATGTTTTGGGACAGACATAATTTGAATGCATGGGAAAAAGCTCTGCAGAGTCAGGAAAGATTAAAAGAGTTTATATGAGTTCATGGCGAACACTGTCCAGTGATATTCAGGACACATAAGGGCTAATTCACGCTAGATAAGAATAAAATCGCTGCATTTTTATCTTTTTTTAATAGTATTTCATGCAATTTTAAGTACCTTATTCAAGTAACTGGAAGCAAAAACATACATCAATGGAGATAAAATCATGTCTGCAGGATTCTCTGTACTAAAAGCTGTGACAGGGAAAGGATAGGGAAAGCTGCCAAACTGCATAGAGAGAGATTCAGGGTCAGTTAGAAAACTGTACTTTTATTCTGATCGCTAGCTCTTTGGGAAATCAACCCCTTTGCTGACTTTTTATTAAGTGCTTTTTTTAGTTTTTGCACTGGCTGATTTGAGGTCAGCGTTTAGCATGCTGTCCCATCCATAGCAACTTTTTTTTTTCTAATTAGCAACGTTTGTTTTTCTGCAAGGCTTTCGAAAAAAAGGGAACTTTTGTTTCAGTGGTAGTGCTTGGGAATTTTTATTTTTATTTTTTTTGGAGGTGGGGGGCGGGGGGAGGGGGGGGATTTTTATATTATGTTGATATGTTCTTTTTAAAAATGTTGGGGTGCCTAAAATGCAGTTTTTACTTGTTCTTAACTATCTGCTGTTTAAGCTACCTTTTTTTCTGTAGCACACCATTATATTGTTTGAAAGAAAAATAAACCTAAGTGAAAGAAAGGTGTGCACCTAAATTATATCACTCGCATTCAACACATCCCCTTTTTCCCATATACTAGGGCTTTTATCTTTCATTATATATGTCCTGCTGCAGACCTATTTTCCACTGCTGCATCATCTGTGTTCGCTTCATTCTTGTATTAAAACCCCTACCTGTGCTTTTCATCTTTATTGCCCTTGGGTCTAAACTTATAGTTTTAAAATTGTCATGCTGCTGGCCTGTTTTCCACTTCTGCATCTCTGTTCCAGAGACTGGATAGAAGCAAAGGGAGGGAGAGTAAGAACATCAGCAAGGTAGGAACTTCTCCTGGGGCAGGGATTGCTTGCAGAGGAGTGGAGAGAGAAGCCATCCTATTTAACTGGTGTCACTAGAGTGTCACTGGCCCAGCGCTACCGGCCAGCCAAAGCTGTTCCACAATCCACATAGCTTAGCAGTCTGGGCTATATTTTACACATCTGCAGCATCTCAGCCATAGTAAAACATTTGGGTACCACACGCATGAGATGAAACATGACTCTGTACCGCTGCACAACTCGGCTGCAGACAGCAGTAACATTATAAATGCAACATCTAAACCATATGACTCCTGAATAATTAGGATGCAGAGCTCATGTGTTCACTCTTTGAAGTGAGGACCTCATGGACTTTTGGGTGTCAAGGCTGGACCACTTGCCAGAGCTTGCACAGTATCCACTGGCTTGCCCTGCAGCCGGTTTGCTGTCAGAGAAACCTTCAGCACAGCTGTTGGTTTTATTATAGAGAGAGGAATCCACCTGTCTCCCAACAAAACCTCTGCAGCTGATGCTACCAACTACATTTTTTTGTGTGTAATTTGGCTCTGTAAACAAATGGCCCCTTCACCATTACTAGCTCCTGCCATCTCTGACTGACCGGCCACCATTACCAGCTCCTGTCATCTCTGCTGACTTGCCACCATTACTAGCTCCTGCCACCTCTGCTGGCCTCCCACCCTTACCATTTCCTGCCGCATCTTTTGGCCTGCCACCATTACCAGCTCCTGTCAATAGTACTGTTACTAGCTACCACCACCACTGCAGGCATGCGACAATTATCAGCTTCTGCTATCTCTCCTGGCCTGCCACCATTAACAGCTTCTGCCACCTTTGTTGACACTTTCCTGTAGCTTATAGATCTGTTGTGGTTGCTACTCCCACCATTCCATCCAGGACATTACCACTGGATATAAAAAGCAAGTATCACAGAACACTACCTAAACAATCCTTAAAATAGTAAAGATGTAGATCAGATAAAGTATATGTGTAACATTTTCCCCCCAGTTTTGGATAGCATATGAAAGGGTTAGAACCCCTGTTAGTTTATTTTTTTGCTGTCTGTGTCCCCTTGTGAAGATTGTCCCTCACGTATTGTCCTGGAGATGCAACAGGAAGAGAGAGGAAATCTCTCCAAAGTGAGACAAATCCTCTCTTAGAAAGCTGTCACAAGAACAGCTGCCCCCATTGGAAGATTACCACTCACTTCCTGTTTTGGATTTTCTATTTTTTTTCTTTTCACTTTCAGTCCTTGTGACAATGATTACAAGGACAAAAAGAGAGGGTGGATTTTTATGGTAGGGACACAGATGTTAAGAATACCTGACAGGGGCTCTAACCTTTGCCTACTCTATTCAAAACAAAAAGAAAAAGTTTTAGCTATACAAATTTTTATAAAATACGGCCATTGATGGCAAATCTGTAAATGTCTGATCTCTAAGCAGTCTTCTTTCTCCCAATAGACTCATAGACATACATGTGTGTATCTTGTAAGCAGGCATGTCTTCATTTATAGCAAACATGCCTGGAATTACAATTTTATCTGGGGAACAATAGACACAGGACAATTTCCCCCATTAGTAGCCTTTTTACTGGAAATGAATTGGCTGCCTTTGTGTGATGAGCTCTAAGGTAATCCATAGACAATTCTTCTGTCCTTCAAACCACATTATTTTTTTATAGAAAGAAAGTTGAGGGCCAATTTTAAGCTACACTTCGGGCCCCTAAAAGAAATGAATGTGCACCATGTTCATCCACACAAACAATTCTGATTATTAATCCATCTGCCCATCAAGGTTAACAATGACTTGATGCTATTGATGCTTCCATAAAATTACTCAATACTATACTAATATGCATGAAAATAAAACTATGAATTATTTATGACATCTCTGTCACAAGATGAAGACACACAAAATGTACTTCCATTCACAAATCTGTGCTAGAACAATGAGAACTGGAAAACTGACTGGTTTCTGTTGCTGACTTATCTGATTTACCAACTCATGTTTCTATAAATTATCCCCAATGCTTTCGGTGTGCCTGGAAAATGCCTTGAACCATTAGGTGTTGAAGGGAGACTATAGAGTATTTTTTAGTACACAGTATGAATTATTATTATAACATTTCCCTGAAAGTATTTTTGACATGACTTTCAGTCGCTTGCTTCTTGTTCCTTATATTGATTAATAAATGTTCCCTCTAGTGGTCATCTGTATATCAGGGTATGTGATTACCATCTATGAACTCAAAAGCCTCTATAATGAGTCTACTGTTTTCAGGAAGGTCAGACCTGACCTATAAGACAGAGAAGCAGTGACCCACTAGTATTGCTAATTAGGCACTAGAGCCTATATATCCACAAATATGGTTGTCTCCATGTACATTTATATTTTGAAACTATACAACCATGCACAGTCGTCGTCGTCGTCCCCGCCCCCCATCATCCTTTGCTGAGATATATTAAACAGTATGCCAAACCTCAGAATCACTATTTTGCAGATATACCCTATCCAGCCTTCTATGAGTATCAATTCACTATTTATTGAGTCTGCCTTCTTTCAGTGCTGCAAATAAGCCAACCATTCCTGTTGAGTATAATGGGGTATCTGTCTACTTACAAGGCTCCAAAGAAAAAAAGCTGGTCATTACAATCTGCAATGGAAAGCCGGTTCAGTACTGCACAAACAGAATCCTAAGTTGGTGAAGTGTTACCCTAGGATGGGCAGGCTAGAGAGTTTAACTAGCAACCCCAGGTTCTCAGAATGTCGTGTGCTATTTAATATTATGCAGTGGACAGTAAGGTGCAGGGGGATTGTGATTTCTGTTCCCCTTAAACCATTAACACTCATGGATAAGTTTGCTTCCACTATGCTGATCTCATTTATACAGTATAAGACTGGAAAAATAGCATAGTATACCTTAAAGGGTTACCTTAGAGATTCCACAGGCAGTGATTCACAGCTAATAAAAGGCAGAAGTACTAGAAACCATGAATTCATCTAGCCAGCAAAGGATATTGCCCCTCTTCTACACAGAACGAGAGAAGCATAATGTCAAAGTTCAAAATTATGTTACATTTTTTACTGCATGTCTATAAGAATAACACCCAAGCACAGTGCAACATTGTCTCCTTTGGAGTTACCTACAAAATATTCTGGAAATGTAAAATGTACAAACAAAATGAGATGCATGCAAAATAGTGCAGACTTACCTCTATATACACATAAAGTGGGAGAACAAGGACAGCTAGAAGAAGGTCAGCTACAGCCAGGCTAACTATGAAATAATTGGTGGTGGTTTTTAGGGCTTTCTCTGTCCAGACACTATGACACACTAACACATTCCCACAGATAATAAATACAATCAGTATGAGCCCGAAGATCAAGGCCAGATAGTTATAGTGGGTATCTCCTGAAGCCTCAGAAGTTTGGTTGGAGATATTCCTGTGCATGGCTTCCTTACTGCGCTATGACCCAACTGTCCCATCAAAGCAAACGAGCATACACCTAACAGGACTTCATTCTTCACCGGTCTCCCTCTTTTTCCTTTGTCTTCCAGAAACAGTAGCTTGTCCCATGGATAATTCATCTATTTCCTCTTCTTTTCTAGGGATGGTCTCCTTGATCAGATCATAAGTTCATTTTTTCTTGAACACAGGTAATCAACACCGTGGTCTTCAGACTTGCTTTCCATTTTTGCTGGACTGCAACCAAGGGGTTAACTTTCTTTAAAGTACAGGCTGCACTTGCAAGAAGGTCAAGGGGAACCTCAACAGTAGATCTTGACCCTTTGATGAGGACCTTTGGTAGTGCTGAACGTTGTCCAAGCCTCGTTCCACATGTTAAAGACAGATTTGACAGGTGACAGGTGTTGGTGGTCCCCCTCTGTCTATTGCAGGGGAGAAATTCCTTGCTTTTCTTCTCTGTGAAGAACTGAATGATCCCAAGGTGATTAATCTGCAAGTGGGTCGCGTACAGGAGAAGAAAGCCGATTAAGGTAGAGAGAGGTTTGTCCTGGAGCTTCTCCAATCAGCAGAAAGATCTCGGAACTGCTCACATCCCAACACCAAGCCTGGCTTAGTATAGCTGTGAGCCTGTGGATGTGACAGCAGTACAGGGAGGGGACCTAATGTGTGTCTGTGTTCTGTCACCTGGATCCTACATGTATGCTGCATAGATGATGTCTAGCACATATATGCTTTGTGATCTGCACAAGGTTTATATCATGATTGCATGTGCTGGGTTATAGGAAAATATAGAGAAGAAAGCAGACTGAGTTGTATGCATGTATTCTAGAGCATGCGGGCATGCAGATCAGGACTGTTGACTTTATTCGGATGTTGCTTGCTTGTTCTGGGTGAGTGTCTAAAGGTGCACATACACTCTGCGATTATCGCTCCATTTCCTTCGTGCCGTCATCGAACCCTCGTTCAATTTCTGCTCGAATACCCCATCATGCACAGTCCAATTTTGATGTCGAAAAGCGTTTGTTAGCAAAACTAACTCACTGATTTTGTCGATCGACACAACAGATTTTGCGCATGTGCAGTACTCTTGTTGCAATTTTCCCCGCATGAAAACGCCACTAATCCAATGATTTTTGTACGCTTTTGTACGATTCCAAAAAAGTTTTCCCTTTGAGAAAATTCATCCAGGAGTACAGTCAAAAAATTGCTGGATTACCATCAACTGATCGATTATCGTTCAAATGACCATTCGTGGATGGTTTCCGAATGATAATCGATAGGTGTATGGGCACCTTTAGAAAGCAATGAGGCCAGAGACAGCCAGGCAACTAGCATTTTCAGAAGCTCAAAAGGGCTATAAGGTTCCCTTTACATCTATGGGGTCTATTCACTAAGCTGCCGTAGGCAGCCGAGTGAAAGACCGACCTGAAGTGAAGTGAGCCGAACGCTTTTCGGCTATTCATTTCAGGCTGGTACGGCTGATTTCAGCCGTACCGGCTGAAATCAGCTGTACATCGGGTGGCTTCACGTGGCTTTGGGTCGGCCGAACATGCTCAGATGCCGAACAGCAGTGAGTGAATAGCCGAATGCCGCTGAGCGGAGAGGGACTGAGCAGAACAGAAAAATAGTTAAAAAAGTAAAAAATAAATAAAATAGAAAACGATTGGGCGGAGCCAGCAATGACAGCTAGCTCAGCCCAACAGTTTTCTATTGTCCGGCGGTTCTGCTGCCGTCACAAAAAAAAAACTCTCCCAGGCGCTCTGGGAGTCTCCCGCTCCTGGCCGCCCAGGAGAGAAACACTGCTTTTTCTTTTTTTTTCTTTATTCTGACACGGTGCTGTGTCAGAATAGAAAAAAAATAAAAAATGTTTTGCCCATTGGAATGTATTGCTAGATTCCTATTGGCTATTTCAATTTGCAATAGCCAATAGTAAACTAGCAGTGTACCCGCCCTCTGCTGATGGACCTGATGGAGAACTGCAGCAGAGGGCAGGTACAATGCTAGATTACTATTGGCTATCGCAAATTAAAATAGCCAATAGGAATCTAGCAATGCATAATAGCCCGTACAACAGTCCTTCGGTTCTACTGAACCGAAGGGGTCCTGGGGCCGAAGCTAGCCGAAGGATCCGCCGAAGCTACGGCTAGATCCTTCGGCTGCTTTGTGAATAGACCCCTATGTGATGCGGGGGCGCAAGCAATGCATTGCATGTTGCAGTGTTAAGTGTACTACATGTTTTCCTAATGGCACCCCAACACACCTAGCCATCGCACGTGTCTTGCATCGCACCACATTGCATGGTAACCTATTACCATGTGATGTGGTAGGATGCAATTTAACCTCTTGCCGTCCGCCCGTAGTAAAAAAACGGACGGACGGCACTGCAGCATCTGCGGGTTGCCGTCTCCAGACGGCAATTTTTTTCTGCTCGCGCGCGCCCCCTAGCGGGCACGCACGGGCAGAAAAGACCCGTCCAATGCGAACACCCGGTACCGGGTGTTTCACATATAGGCGATCAGCGGGTCCATAGCCCGCCGATCGCCTATATGTGCTCGCTCGCGGCACCAGCTTCATCAGCTTCTTTTGGGGTCCACAGGTGATATTAGGGGTTCTAGAGACCCCTAATATCTCCATAAAGAGGACCTGTCAGTGTGCCTTTGCTATTATATAGGGGGTTGTTATCCCCCTATATAATAGCAATAACAATAAGTGCAAAAAAATAAATATAAATAAAAAAAAATAAAAGTAACACATAAAAAAGTAAAATAAAATAAAAGTCACATATAAAAAAAGGGGAAAAAACCCCCCCAAAATGTTTAACTCCCCCACCCCCACGTTTACGCGCCTATAAACGTAAATACGCGTCCGGTGCCCCAGCGCGCAAAAATTACAATTGCGCTACACATGTTACATATCGCCGCGAACGTCGCAGTGAGAGCAATCATTTTAGGGCCATCAATCACTGATAACACTAAACTGATGAGCGGTAACAGCTTTTAAAGCGTCGCCTATGGCCAATTTTGGGTATTATCGTTTTTTGAGGTTTCGCGCGCGCACGCAATTTTAAGGCTTGACATGTTTAGTGTCTTTTTACCCGACGTGACCCCATCTTTTATATTTTACCAAAAAATTGGGCAATAATAAATGTTTTATCATTTAATATAGGGGAAACTGTTTTTTTTTTAATTTCGGTAATTTTTCCTTAATATAGTAAAAAAATAAAACCCCCAGTGGTGAATAAATACCACCAAAAGAAAGCTCTATCTGTCCCCCAAAAAGGGTATAAAATTCATTTCAGTACAGCGCTGCATGACGGAATAAATGTCAGTTAAAGTACCGCGGCGCTGAATACTGAAAAATGGCCTGGATGGGAAGGGGGTTTAACACCGCGGATGTCAACTGGTTAAAGAGACGTGCACATAGTTCTTTCAGTGTGATTTAGGTAAGATAGGAAGCCAGGTCAAATGAATGAGCTGCCCTACCACAGCGCACCAAAACACCCTGCAGCAGCACTTTAATGTCGCATCACAAAGGTGTGAAAGAGGGCAAACTATTTTTTACCTACATTTACTTACAGTCCAGTACATATCATTGTACATGGTCAATCTACAAAATCAATCGACTATTGCTTTTTAAAATAAACTCAAAATAACAGTTGTCATTGCTGAGCTCTCTTTTTGAAAGCAATCGTTCTGGTTAAAGCAATCATTTGGCACTCCAGCTGTTGTGGAACTACAAATCCCATGAGGCATTGGAAGTCTCTGTATGTACTCTCTATGACTCCCAGAGGCAGAGACTTCCAATGTCACCACAGCTGTAGTTCCGAGGTTGCCTTCCCATGCCGTAAATACCATCAGCATGGGTGCTTTTAGCAAAGCAAGGGTTAACTTATCATTGAAGCAGGGCTGTATTTTTGGAAAATAATTTAAATGCAAACTTTTTCCTCCAGAACAGTTGAGGGTGATCTGAAACTGGTAAAAGTCATAGAGCTGTAGTTATGTGTAGGAGAGGAAGAGGTTAATCTATAGACTAAGCATCCTTGGTTGGGTGGATGGAGGAGAGGAGAAAATAGTTCATGTAGGCTGCATGGAAGAAGCAGGCTCTGAAGGATTAACCTTAACAACCAGGTCAGAAGGTGACAGCTGCTCAATACTCGGGTCCCTGGTCCTGAGACTTGTGACACAATGGAACTTTAAGGTGTATCCAAGCCAAAACTTTCAGTTTGCGTTGTAGATAGAGAGGTGAGGGGGGTATTTTTACTTCTCTCTTTATCCCTGTAAAGCTGGCTATACACCGATAGATTATCTGCAGATGTTCTATGGTCAGATGAAAAAAGTGCAACAGATCCCCCCATCTACGCTACACTGTGTGGATGGAGAAATCTCCCACTGGGCCAAGCTTCAGTATCTGGCTAGTCGGCCCCGCTGGCTGTCAAAATACCTGAACAATGTCTGCATCCAATCAGATAATTCAGGTATTTTAACAGCCAGCGGGGCCGACTAGCAAGATACTGAACCTTGGTCCAGTGGGAGATTCCTCCATCCACACAGTTTAGCGTAGATGGAGGAATCTGTTGCACTTTTTCCATCTGCAGATAATCTATAGGTGTATGGCCAGATTTAGGAAGATTAGTTCTCTCTTGTTTTGCTGGTGAATGGGATGCAGATCACAGAAACAAACTTAGCAGGGGTTCTAACCCTCACCTACTCTATTAAAATGTATCCTCTATATGTAGATGAAATGTAAATGTAAAATGTAAATCTATAATAAAAAGAAACAACCCACTGAGATCTGGTCCTGGGGATTATAGGCAGAGGGGGACTGAGCGGGGGCCCCTAAAAAATCAGGCCGACATTCCAGAGCAGAGAGGCAGAACAGGGTATGTACCAAATTCATATACTATTATTCTGCAGTGCTTTATCATGTATTGCTGGGATTTGTAGTCCTCTATAGATGATGGCATTCAGCATTAGAGTGTAAGCTCCTCTGTACAGAGACTGATGTGACTAGCTCAGTGTTCTCTGCACAGTACTACAGTATATGTCAGAGCTATATGAATGTAAAATAATATTGTGTGACTATGGGGGCACATTAGAGTGTAAGCTCCTTTAGTGCAGAGACAGCAGGGGGAGTTGGGGGGCCAGTGAGATCCAGTTCCCCTTGGAGCAGGAAGGGGGGAGGGCAAGAAAAAATCTTGCACCAGGGCCCTTTGTTCCTTAGGTCCGCCACTGGACCCCTGTGTGTAC